CTCCCTCCTCCACCCTTCCTATTCCTCCCTCCTTCCCCCTCCCTCCTCCCCCTCCTCCCCACTCCTCTCTCTCCCCCTCCTCCTCTCCCTCCTCCATCCTTCCTACTCCTTTCCCTCTTCCCTTCCCACCTTCCCCTCCCTCCTCCATCCTTCCTACTCCCCTCCCTCCTCCCTCCCGCTTCCCTCCTCCCTCCTTCCCTCCTCCCTCCTCCTTCTCCCTGCTTTCACACAGTAAACACCATCTCTTTCCTCCTCCCACACCAGCTCTTGCAGACCATCCGCCCTCATTCCACTGAGTGAACGGCTAACGCTTCCCGGGGCCTGCTTCCCAGAATTGGGAGGCTAAGTCAGAAACCACAGGGTGTCATTCTCAGTAAAATGAGAGTATATTAAATTACGAATTATTGAAGCAGATAAATTATAAACAAATTATTTGTTATATCATCTACTACGCTGTCCTCTTAAAACACCTAGACCTCCCTCAACATTTACCATTTCACACTGTCATTTCATAACAATAATACCCTTTTCCTGTTTTCTGTTTGATGGTCATTTTTTTAAAGACTTTATTTATTTATATTTAGACAGAGAGATAGGGGTGGGTGGAGCACGCAAGCAGGGGGAGGGGCAGAGGGAGAGGGAGGGAGAGAATCCCAAGCAGATTCCACACTGAGTGCAGAGCCCAACATGGGGCTCGATCCCATGACCCTGAGATCATGACCTGAGCCAAAACCAAGAGTCGAATGCTCAAGCGAGTGAGCCACCCAGGTGTCCCTAATGGTCATTTTTAATGTAGTACTTAAACTTCCAGCCTGGTTTCCTGTCTCCACTGGAAAGCACTCAGGCCAGGAGCAGGGGTGGGGGTGTGGGGGATGTGCACCTGCCTGCATTCTCCTATGTCACCACCCCCCCAACACTGCCCAGGGGCTAAGGGCTAAGGGCTGGGACTTTCTCCTGGCAGCAGTGAGGGGCATGGACGGGGCAGGGACAAGGGAAGGTGCTGGCCTGCAGCTGGGGGGAGGGGAGGAAGGGCCAACCCTCCTGGATGCCTGGGCTGCTTGAGCAGGGAAATGGAGGGATGCAGATGGAATCAGCAGAGCACTGGGAAACACAGAGAGAAAAGGGGGCTCCTACTGACCCTGACACCTAGGGAGGCAGGAAGCAGGCTGGAGGCCCCTGAGGAAGCCAGTGGAGAGGCCAGGGAGCAGAAGTCAGAGGCTGGGAAGGCAGGCTCGGGCTGTGACCCCAATGCCCGGGAAGAGAAGCCTGCAGGTGCGGGTCCACCTGCTTCACCACAGGGACGGTGGAGCCAGCCCTCCT